ACGCAGCTCTGCATTATTACAGCTCCGCCGCTGTGACGGATCGTTGAGCCGAGCAAAATACACTAAGAGTTAGAACTAACACACGTAGCTAGTGTATCTACTCTGGAACTAGCTAAACAAGTTATAAATATATTTATTCTTTACTGTCGGGTCACTTATTACAGGTTCAGCGAGCTGCACGAGACTGATGGGCTGTCAGGAGAGGGAGAGGAAAAGAGAGCACCCCGTTTACTTTTCCCACTTTATTTTCCAGAATTACTGTAAACTTTTGAATAAAGTAGTTAATCTACTATTAGTAGTTTGTGTCAATGCATTAATTATGTTTTTTTTTTTCATTAACATAAAATAAATCTCACGTACCCCCTGCAGTACTCCAACGTACCCCTAGGGGTCCGCGTACCCCCATTTGAGAAGCACTGATCTAGATCCTCTGTCTCGAGCCAGTTAACTCGCGGGCCTTCTAGAGTACCCTGGAACCGAGGGAAACTCTGAAAGAATACGCCCATTGGCTACAAATCAATATATGATTGGTTGATCAAACTGTCAGTCCAAACGTACGCTCTCATTCAGTGCAACGGCCAGGGCATACGATCAAGGATGTAGAATACCTTGGTTGAAGGATATTCTACCCAGAGACCCAGAACAAGATCTGATTGGTTGCTCAGACACAAAACCACTGAAATGCGTAGTGCATGGTCCGAGAAGGACAAACAAATCAACGTTACTGTAATATTACAGATCAACAACACAGATACGATTCTCATTTATTCATTTTATTACATGTTATTTATATAATTAAATCGATTTTTTGTTTGTTTTATCTGAGTGTTCCAGGGTATTCTCTGAATACCTCGAAGGTCCTGACGGTTCGCCACTGCTTAGACTTAGCACTTTATTTGTGATGTGAAGCTATTTCTTAGCTGCCTAAAACGCAGCCATTCTACCTCGGAGCCTGATTTCATAGCCTTTGCCCAGGCCTTGTTTCTCTCATGAAGGAGACTAGACAGTTCAGCAGAAAACCAAGGATTGTCTCGTATAAGATTAATAGTATTAAGAAGAATAACACAGAAGGAAGCAGGTAGTTTTTTGTTATTCATGCAAAATGAAAGGTGATGATTTCCTCTCTGTTTGTAGGTAATGTTGATCTTATAACATCAGTAAAAACCTGAGTTGTAAGCAGAGGGTCTTCATTTTCTTCTGGTTCATTTAAAATGTATGTTTTTATCTGAAAATGTAGTCTTGTAGGGTAACTGTTTAGAAAAGCAACTGCACTAAAGACATACATATATTTCCCAGAAGTCCATTTCTGTTTTCAGTGTACACCTCCTGCTAAATATTGAAGAGAAACGGGCTGGCAACATTTACACCGGTTTTTTTCTCTGTCGAAGAGGATTTGGAAGAGAGGGT